CCTGGGGTCAGTGTGTCCATCCTGGGGTCAGTGTGTCTGTCCTGGGGTCAGTGTGTCCGTCCTGGGGTCAGCGTGTCCATGCTGGCGTCAGCGTGGGTCACTTGGGGTCAGTGTGTCTCTGAGTGTTCCTACACCCTCAGATCATGTCCCCTCGCTGTCCCCACACCCCAAGGGACTGTCCCCACCCCCCGAGGGACTGTCCCCAAACCCCGAGGGACTGTCCCCACTGTCCCCCGACCCTCAGGGACTGTCCCCAAACCCCGAGGGACTGTCCCCACCCCCCGAGGGACTGTCCCCATACTGTCCCCACCCCCCAAGGGACTGTCCCCACGCTGTCCCTGGCTGTCCCCACGCTGTCCTCAGCTGTCCCCGTGCTGTCCCCGCAGGTGGTGAAGGTGAGGCCCAACGACAAGGACGCCAAGCTCAAGTACCAGGAGTGCCACCGCATCGTCAAGCAGAAGGCCTTCGAGAGGGCCATCGCCAGCGACGAGCACAAGCGCTCCGTGGTGGACTCGCTGGACATCGAGAGCATGAGTGAGACCCCCACCCGCCCGGGGGGCACTTTGAGGGGCTCAGGGGGCACTGGCTTCAAGCTGCTCTACCCTGACCACTTCCACCTGCTCCGAGGTACTGCCAGGGCCTGGGGGGCGCGGCCCGGGCCCCCCCGGCTGGGTCTGGGGGGGTCGTGTCCCCACAGCCGTCCCCTCTTGTCCCCATTGTCCCCATGGATCACTGTCTGGCAGCGCTTGTTGTACACCATAGATCACTTTCTGGCAGATCTTGGGGAGTTTTTGTCCCCTCCCTGTCCCTTGGGGTTGGGGACATCCCTGTCCCTTGGGGTTGGGGACATCCCTGCCCCTTGGGGACATCCCTGTCCTGTCCCTTAGGGTTGGTGCCATCCCTGTCCCTTGGGGACATCCCTGTCCCTTTGGGATTGGTGCCATCCCTGTCCCTTGGGGACATCCCTGTCCCTTGAGGTTGAGGACATCCCTGTCCTGTCCCCTTGGGGCTGGTGACATCCCTGTCCCTTGGGGTTGGTGGCATCTTGGGGACACTGCAGTGTCCCCAACCCCAGGCAGTGTCCCCAGCCCCAGCCGTGTCCCCAGCCCTGGCAGTGTCCCCAACCCCGGGCAGTGTCCCCAACCCCGGCAGTGTCCCCAACCCTGGGCAGTGTCCCCAGCCCCGGGCAGTGTCCCCAACCCCGGGCAGTGTCCCCAGCCCCGGGCAGTGTCCCCAGCCCTGGCAGTGTCCCCAGCCCCAGCAGTGTCCCCAGCCCTGGCAGTGTCCCCAGCCCCCAGCAGTGTCCCCAACCCCGGCAGTGTCCCCAGCCCCGGGCAGTGTCAGGGTCACTTGGAGGGGCTCAGGGGTCACTTGGAGGGGCTTAGAGGTCCCCAGCACCCCTGTCCCTGGGGCACGGTGGGAGGCCGTGTCCCCGGGCTGTCCCCAGGCTGTCCCCGGGCTGTCCCCTCGCTGTCGCCCCACTGTCACCCCGCTGTCCCCTCTGTCCCCGCAGCCATCGAGGACGAGTACAGCGGCCCCAAGCTGGAGGACGGCCGGGTGACCTTGGCCTTCATGAAGGACCTGATGCAATGGTACAAGGACCAGAAGAAACTCCACAGGAAATGTGCCTACCAGGTACCCCAAAACCCCCACAAAACCCCGCTGTCCCCCCACGTGTCCCCACGTGTCCCCACGTGTCCCCACGTGTCCCCACGTGTCCCCACGTGTCCCCACGTGTCCCCACGTGTCCCCACGTGTCCCCACGTGTCCCCACGTGTCCCCACGTGTCCCCACGTGTCCCCACGTGTCCCCACGTGTCCCCACGTGTCCCCACGTGTCCCCACGTGTCCCCACGTGTCCCCACGTGTCCCCACGTGTCCCCACGTGTCCCCACGTGTCCCCGCCGCGCAGATCCTGGTGCAGGTGAAGGAGGTGCTGGCCAAGCTGCCCACCCTGGTGGAGACCACGTTGAAGGAGGTGGGTTCCCCTGGCCGGGGGGGCGTCCCCGGGGGTGTCCCCCCCTTTGACGCGGGTGCCACCGCCGCGTGTCCCTTGGCAGACGGAGAAGGTGACGGTGTGCGGGGACACGCACGGGCAGTTCTACGACCTGCTGAACATCTTCGAGCTCAACGGGCTCCCCTCCGAGGCCAACCCTTATGTATCCACACCCCGGGGGTCCCTGGGGCGGGGCGGGGTCGGGGGGACGCCGGGGACACGCCGGGGGTGTCGTTGTCCTCAGCTGGTGACAGATTTTCAACGGGGACTTCGTGGACCGCGGCTCCTTCTCGGTCGAGGTCATCCTGACGCTCTTTGGCTTCAAGCTGCTCTACCCTGACCACTTCCACCTGCTCCGAGGTACTGCCAGGGCCTGGGGGGCGCGGCCCGGGCCCCCCCGGCTGGGTCTGGGGGGGTCGTGTCCCCACAGCCGTCCCCTCTTGTCCCCATTGTCCCCATGGATCACTGTCTGGCAGCGCTTGTTGTACACCATAGATCACTTTCTGGCAGATCTTGGGGAGTTTTTGTCCCCTCCCTGTCCCTTGGGGTTGGGGACATCCCTGCCCCTTGGGGACATCCCTGTCCTGTCCCTTAGGGTTGGTGCCATCCCTGTCCCTTGGGGAC